ATTTGTGGTCGGGGTCCCGGCCCCGGGCCCCCGGACCCGGTGCGCCGTTATATGTATACATGCAGCCCCCACATGATCACACGTGCTTTTCTTCCATACATCCCATGCCACATCCTCCTCCTCCTCCTCTTCCTCCTAGTCCTCCTCCTCCTCCTCCTCCTCCTCCTCCTCCTCCTCCTCCCCCTTCTTTGTCAAGATTCTTCTTAATGCGGAGCATGGTTGCCACCAAACCGTACTATACTTAGGTTGGTCTGGTTTGGTTGGTCGGGGACTTCGCTGAACCATACTATACACATGTTTTCGCGGGGGGGGTCAGGAGGTCCGCACATTTTGGCCACGCCTCGTTCGTTTTCCATGTTCCTTTCCATGCAAAGGTCGACTGTAACCAAACCAGATTCTGCACAGTATGCTTTGTTCTATGGGGCCCGGCAGAAAGCAAAACCCTACTATAAACAGGTGTTTTGGGTTGTCCTGGTTTGCAAGAGGTCCGCAGACTTGGCCTGGTCAAAATGTGCCGACCTCTTGAAAAACAACCAACTAAACATGTGTACAGTGAGAGTTGGTGGTATTCCCGACCAAGAAAAAACAGAAACCTGTGTGTAGTATGTTCTGGTGGCAGTCCACGGCCAAATGGGGAGGAGTATAGAGAGAGAAGGAGGCCTGACCAACGTGTGGAAGTCCCTTGAAACAAATGTATACTGGGCTTTGGGGGTATCCCCGCTGTCAGAAAGACCCTGTGCATAGCATGGCCTGGTGGAAGTCGAGGCAAAAGAAAAGAGGGAGTCCATCTGATGAGGAGTCTTCCTCCTCACCCTCCTTCTGTCAGTCTTCATCACCGTACCTCTCCCGTGGAAGGTGGAGGAGGAGGAGGTGGTGGAGCAGGAGGAGGAGGAGGAAGAGTGGTTAGACAAGGGGGGGTGAGGAGTCACGCCTCCTCCTCCTCCTCTTCTTCCCGCCCCGCTCACTCCGCCTCCTCCTCCTCGTCCTCCTCCCCCTCCTCCTCCTCCCTCCTACTCATCCTCCTCCTTGTCGTCGTCATCCCCCTCGTACCTTACCTCGTTCGGCACCTACATTGGGAGGAGGAGGAAGAGTGATACGACAAGGAGGGGGAAGAGGCGGAAACCAGGAGGACGAGCATGCACTTGTCACTCGTCCTCCTCCTTCTCCGCATTCTCCTTCTTCTCATTCTCCTCACCCCCCTTACACCATTCCCCCGATCCCCTCTTCACCATCCAGCACCACCCTTCTTCTACCACTCGTGTGACAGGAGGAGGAGGGTGATTATGATAAAGAGAAGGAAGTCTGCCGAAAGAAGCAAGATGAGAAGCAATGCGGCAGGAGGGGGGCATCACCCTTATCCAGCTCCTCATCCTCATGCTCCCATCACCGTCCAACCTCATGCCCCTCCTTACCTCCGTATCACACCTCCGTCTCCTATAGTGGAAGCAAGTTGGTGTGTCTCATAAGGAAGGCGAGGAGGGGCACGACCACGAGGAGGACATTGGGGAGTTACTCGTCCACCTCAGCTTTCTCCTCCTCCTCCTGATCCTATCGCCACCCCTCCTCATCCTCCTCACCCTCCTGATATCATTCCCTCTCCTGGAGAACGGGTGGGGGGATCTGAGGAGGAGTAGGAGACTTGATGCGATGAGGAGGAGGAGCAGTACGGGGTCGAGAACCCGCTCCTACTCCTCCTCCCCCTGGTCTCATCATCAGCCGGCGCGTCCTCCTGGTCTTCCGCCTCCTCCACAAAAGCAACAGCAACATCATCGTCCTACTTCCTCATGCCGCTCCCGCTCACCTCACCTCTATCACTCGTGGTTAACGTCATATCTCGTGTGGGGATGCGAGTGTGGGTATCAGTTCTATGGAAAGTCTACCAGTCCGAACATCGAACTACTGATGTATGTTTAATGTGGTTTGAATGCTGTAGGATGCCCTCCGTTCGCTAGGGGGATGCTCGGGGACAGCTGAAAACATGTAAAATATTAGCTTTAGCAATTCAAATAACACTCAAAACCATATGATATATATATATATATATATTGTACACGATAGGGTATTGCATGTGTTTCGGCGTCCCATTCAAACCGCATCCACACGCATGCGTGTGCCGTTAAACATGCATATGTGATGATGCTTGAATGTGATTCGCATATTTCTGTAAGTATCCAAACACATCCTCCGCCGAGGTAGACATCCCAAACGCGTTCAAATTAACAGGTATTTAGCCTGGTTAAGATTGGCCAACGTGCCTCCTCTCCATTGATCGGCTTACACAAAGATGCGGATGAAGAGGGGAGGAGGTGCGATTGAAAGAGGGTGAGAAAGATGCGAGGGACGAAGATGAGGATAATCATACGGGTTTGGAAGATCACACCTCATCACCCGCTCTCACAACCCATCTCGTCCTCCCCCATCCTCCTCCTCCTGGTTCTCCTCCTCCTCCCACTCCCAAGAAAGATCAGACTGTAGAAGGCAGGTGTGCTAAACTGAGGGTGGGGAGGACGTTGTGGAGGATTGGTCCTAACGAATGAGGACCAGTTGCCCCTCCCTCCTCCTCCTGCTTCTCCTCTACCTGCTCCTCTCCATTCGCCCACATACCACTCATCCTCATGTTGCTACCCCACGTCCCCGTCCTCCTCATCATCATCCTTCAACTCCTCGTCATCCGTCTCCGCCTCCCCATCCTCCTTCTCATCCTCCTCCCTTCCGAGGGGGGGTGGGAGGAGAAGTGATAGGATGGCGAGGAGCAGGGAAGGGCGAAAGAAGAGGGGGAGGATGAAGAGGAGGGTGAGGAGGAGGGGCAGAAGGAGAAGAAGGAGGAGGAGAAGGGGGAGGAGGAGAAGGTGTTACGTCTCAACGGTCGCCTCCTGCGTCTCCTCGATATCCTCCTCCGCGTATCCTCCCTATCGTCCTCATCCTCCTCCTCGTCCTCCTCATCCTCCTACGCCTACTCCTATCACGTCCCCTCCTCATCCTGATCCGTATACTGCTCATCCCCCACCTCCTCTCCCCGTAGAAGAATCAGGAGTGAAGAGGGAAGAAGAGGAATATCGATATAATAATGATGATGGGGATGAGTGATGGGAGGAGGAGGGAGGACGGGAGGAGGAGGAGGAGGAGGAGGAGGAGGAGGAGGAGGAGGAGGAGGAGGAGGAGGAGGAGGGGTAGTGGGAGGAGGGGGAAGAGGAGGAGGAGGCGTGACTCGTCAACCTCCTCCTGCGCATGCGAAAGAAGTATGGGAAGAGGGAAGAGCGGAGAGGGTGAGAAGAGGGATGAGGGAAGATGGAGGACTAGGAGAATGAGGATGGACGAGAACCACGAAGGATGAAAGGGGGAACGCGTGGATCAGCAGCATGATGATGATGAGGACGATGACCGTGATGATGAGGATGTGGATATAGGGGGTCAGGAGGAAGAGAAGGACGAGGACGGAGGAGGAGGAGGGTATGGGGGCGACGTGAAGATCAGAAGCAAGACGAGGGCGAGAAGGCCGATAATCAGGTAGAGGGCCACGACGACAAGGAGTATGCTAAAGAGGAAGAGGATCCGGATCAGGGGGCTGCTGCAGCAGGAGGACGAAAATGAGGATGGAAGGTAAGGACGCGGATCAGAAGGAAGGTGAGGAGTTCGAGGATACAATCCATACCTGTGTTCATGCGGGGGGCACAATATATGCATATAAAAATGAATGTGTGTGGATACACGCGAGTCTATGTATGGAAGTGTGTATGTATGTGTGTATGTATGTATGTTTGTATGCATGCATGCATGCATGCATGTATGTATGGGTGTATGTATGTGTGTATGTATGTATGCATGCATGCATGCATGTATGTATGTATGTATGTGTGTGTATGTATGTATGTATGTATGTATGTATGTATGTATGTATGTATGTATGTATGTATGTATGTATGTATGTATGTATGTATGTATGTGTGTGTATGTATGTATGTATGTATGTATGTATGTATGTATGTATGTATGTATGTATGTATGTATGTATGTATGTATGTGTGTGTGCTGCATGCATGTATGTTTGTATGTATGTATGTCTGGTTGTATGTATGCATGTGTGCATGTGTATACATGTATGTATGCATGCATGTATGCATGTATGTATGTTTGTATGTATGCATGTATGTATATATATATAGATATAGATGATGGGGCCTCCCGATGGGGTCGGAGTATATTGGGACGGAGGATCGCGCGGTATCTCCAATGCATTGACGATGCATCGGCGCAAGTCGGCGTGGAACTAATGGGGCTCCACACCGAGCCGCATCAGCGATGCATCGGCAACGCGGCGCGATCCTCCGACCCCATCTACTCGGACCCCATCTGGGAGGCCTCGACGATATCCACCTCTCCACGAGAGGCCCTCGAGACCCCAAGGCACGTCTCCACCTCGGTGTACAGTGCAGGGCCCGAGCTGAACGGTGTTTCCGTTTCGTATTGTCTTCATGTTTCCTCGCTATACCTTCCTTCGTCCCCCCCGCCTTTGCTGCAGAACGTAATCAAAACAAAAGCGGTCCACGAAATCGACAAAATACCGTTTAGCTCTCGCCATGCTTTGCGATGCTGGGCAGACATCCGCATCCACGGCCGCCAGAGTCGTGCCCATGAATGCCTCGGGAACGGTGGGTGCGTATACTTTCCCGCCATCAAGGGCGGGCCCTCGTATACAGCCGAGCTTGACGAGCGGGTCGACCCTACCAAATCAAAGGTAGCCTTGTGTCCTGTGAGTTCGAGATCCATCATGCATTCTACATTCCTGTGGCAGTGTGGCCCTCAGAAGAGTCTGAGTCATCTCGAGTGCCCTCTCTAGTCAAACCTGACCGTATATCTATATATATACAGATATACATATACATCTACATATACACGTACACAAAATAAATATACACACCACTCCACGATGAGGCCCTCGATACCCCAGGGCACGACTCCGACGCGGTGGACCACGGCTGCAATGTCTGGCTTGCGGAGACCTTGGCCACCACCGACGCCACGCCGTTGATGGTCTGGCCGCCCATCAGCGCTAGGTGCACGAGGAGCTGCGGCGGCGCAGGGCTGCCGCACTCCCCACAGCCACCTGGTGGTGCGCCAGGAGGAGGGCGCGAGGAGGGAAGGGCATGGAGGGAGGGAGGGAGGGAGGGCGAGGAGGGAGGGAGAGGGAAGAGGAGAGGGGAGGGGGAGAGGGAAGGCGAGAGGGGAGAGGAGAAGGGAAGAAGGAGGAGGAGGAGGAGGGGAGGAAAAGGAAGAGGCTGAGTGCGGGAAGGGGAAGGGGGGGGGGACGAGACGAGGACGACGACGACGACGACGAGACGAGGACGAGGACGACGACGACGACGACGAGCTGCGGCGGCTGGCGGCCACCCTGCCTGCCTCCAGGGGCCGGCACCATTGGCTGCTGCATCTCCAGCCTCGCCCCCTGGGCGGGCGGATCCGCCTGCGGGGAACAGGGGGGGAACCCATAGAGAGAACGCGCCCCCCACAAAACCTGGACTGTGCGGACCTGGACCTGCCTGGCGGGCGTAGTCGGGGCCCAGCTCTCTGAACCTAGGGGCCCCCCAGATAGGGTGCGAGTAGATGGGGTCGGGCGATTGCACCGCATCGGCGATGCATCGGCGACGTCGGCGGCGCGTCGGCGACGTCGGCGCGGAGAAGATCGGGCTCCACATCGAGCCGCATCGGCGATGCATCGGCGACGCGGCGCGAGGCCTCCGACCACATCTGTTGGGACCCGATCTGGGAGGCCTAGAATGAATAGCCACGAAAAAAACATTACCCTTTGGGAGCGGACCTAAGTTAGGAGGTCCCAAAAATTCGAAATAGGGGGTATGCTCAGCATGTGTATCCAACAACACCGCCTACAAATGTTAGACCTACTGAAAACCGGGAACCCAAATCAGGCTACGTCTTCATTGTGCCACCAGGGCTTCTTTTCTGCCGATGATCGAGAAGAAGGGGCGACGCCGATCTGGTCGGGGCACCGCCTCTCGAGGGCCGTGTCGCCGACAAATCGCTCTGGGCTTGGCCGGGGCCTCCCCGGGCCTCCGACGTCGCGGCCTGTGCGGTGCGCCCGACGGTCCTGGAGCCCTCGGCCCCCTCTTACGGGGGACGGCTGCTCATCTCGCGCCGACTCTGTGGACGGCCCCGCGGCCCGACGCCGGCCGCCATCCAAGCGCCGAGAACGGCGCAAAAACGAAGCGCCCAGCGTTTGTTGCCTACTCCGCGGCCGCTTGTTCTGCCTTCCGCCCGCTCGTGCACCGCTCGCACTGCAGCGTCCCCGCGTAGGTTTCAACCGCGCTGCGCGACCGCCGCCACCAAACCAATTTCCACTGCTTGCCCGAGGCGCTGGGGAGGCCGGGGCGCCTCTTCCGAGGCCCAGGGAGTGTCCGGAATCGAATCAGTTGGATCGGCGATCGACATGTATTTATCGGCAGAATTCGGCAGCCACGTCGGGAACTGTCGAATGGGTTGAACTCGGCAGTCTGGTAAAGCTTCCATTGAAGAGCCGAAATCCGCATCGGAGTCCGACGTCCAAGCGAATCGGAATCGGAATCGAAATCGAATCGGATCGAATCGGGGGAATCGACATAAGCACTGCCAGACCTGACCCATGGGCGCGGCGGGCCCCGCAGGCCGGGCCGACAGCTCGACCTCCACGGCCGCGACCACCTGGGAACCGCTCGCTCTGGCGCTCGCAGATGGCGAAGCACGGAGCGGCGGCGGCGGGGCATCGCCAGCTGCTCGAGCTCGAACAGGGATGGCGGCGGTGGGCGGAGGACGACGGGGGGGAAGCACAAGAGAGTTCACCCGACCATTTGCCAGCATCGATGACACAGCTAGCTCAGTGCACTCCTTGCGGGGATGGCCCACACGGAACAATTATTCGCGGGACTTCTTAAACAACGAAAACTGCACCGTAATGTCGACATGGCAGCCTTTTCTTTCGGTTGTCCATACTCTTGCAAACATCCCACCCACCCACCCGTAACTTGGTTTGCAAAACCCATGTGGTGGCGATTGCGATGCATGCTTGGCGTTGACTGGTGCATTTTTGCGGCCGCGCCGACCCTAGCACGCGCGCGCAGCGGCCAGCCAGGTCGGCGCCGCCGACGCGGCCGCGGTGGCGTCGACCGCTGGGCACATCCCAGCGGGCAGTTCACTGCGAGTCGGCGACTTGGGCGGGCGCGGTATCATGGCAACGTCGCCAACGATAGGCACGAGGATGATAGTAGCGATGCTGGTGACGATGTTGACACCGACGAAGGCGCGGCCAGTGCGGGCGCCGATGCTGATCACGCCGACGACGATGACGGCGTTGTCGCGACGGTGATGAAGGTTTTGGAAAGAGTTCCACGATGCTGACGATAATGAGGCAAACCCAGTGATGACGGTGAGGATGAGGATGACAATGATGGCGGTGATGACGGTGATGACGGCAACGATGATGACGATCATGACGGCGATGTGGGCGATGGTGAGGACCAAGAGACGGGCGAAGCTGAGACAAGGAGGCGCATCAAACCTGCACGCATGCAGGTGTGTTATCGCGGCTGGGGCGGAATCAGATCTGCGTGCGCGCAGGCCAATCGTGGGGCAAGATTGCGACAATTGGATTGTAATGTACAGCACTCCGATCAAAGCGCCTCGCACTATTTCCCAACAATCCTGCGGTGTTGGGTCCTCGTTGTGATGAGACGGTGCCCCGCGGTTCCCTCTCCTCCGCTCTCCTCTCCTCCTCCTCCTCCTCCTCCTCCTCCTCCTCCTCCTCCTCCTCCTCCTCCCTCCTCCTCCTCCTTCCTCCTCTCCTCCTCTCTTCGCCTCCGTCCTCCTCCTCGCTCCTCCTCCTCCTCCTCCTCCTTCTCCTCCTCCCTCCTGCCTCCTCCTCCTCCTCCGTCCTCTCTCCTCCTCCTCTCCTCCTCCTCTCCTCCTCCTCTCCTCCTCCTCCTCCTTCCTCTCCTCCTCCTCTCCTCCTCCTCTCCTCCTCCTCCTCCTCCTCCGTCCTCCTCCTCCTCCTCCTCCTCCCCTCCTTCCTCCTCCTCCTCCTCCTCCTCCTCCTCCCCTCTCCTCCTCCTCCTCTCCTCCTCCTCCTCCTCCTCCTCCTCCTCCTCCTCCTCCACTCCTCCTCCTCCTCCTCCTCCTCCTCCTCCTCCTCTCTCCTCCTCCTTCCTCCTCCTCCTCCTCTCCTCCTCCTCCTCCTCCTCCTCCTCCCCTCCTCCTCTCCTCCTGCCCTCCTCCTTCCTCGCTCCTCCTCCTCCTCCTGCCTCCTCCTCCCTTTCTCTCCTCCTCCTCCCGCCTCCGCCTCCGCCTCCGCCTCCGCCCTCCGCCTCCGCCTCCGCCCTTCCTCCTCCTCCTCCTCCTCCTCCTACCGCCTCCTCACTCCTCCATCATCATCATCATCATCATCATCATCATCATCCATCATCATCAATCATCATCGATCATCATCATCATCATCATCATCAATCATCATCTCATCATCATCATTCAGCATCCATCATCATCATCAGCATCACACAATCAATCAATCGCTCATCATCATCATCATCATCATCATCACATCATCATCATCATCACCAACCATACCCCACCACCACCATCATCATCATCATCAACATCATCCATCATCATCATCATCATCATCATCATCATCATCATCATCATCATCACATCATCAGTCAGCACCACATCATCATAGTCCATCAGCATCAGCAGCAGCATCATCATCATCATCAGCTTCATCATCATCATCAGCATCATCATCAGCATCATCATCAGCATCAGCATCACCATCATCATCAGCATCATCGTCATCATCATCATCACCATCATCCTCATCATCATCAGAATCGTCGTCGTCATCATCGTCATCATCACCACCACCACCATCATCATCATCACCACCAACATCATCATCATAGTCATCATCAGCACCATCATCATCATCATCATCATCATCATCACCAGCATCATCAGCATCAGTATCAGCATCGTCATCAGCATCATCATCAGCATCATCGTCGCCATCGGCATCGTCATCGTCATCATCATCACCATCATCACCAGCATCATCAACACCATCATCGTCATCAGCATCATCATCATCATCACCATCAACACCATCATCATCAACATCATCAACATCATCATCGTCAGCATCATCATCATCAGCATCATCATCATCGTCTTCATCATCAGCATCATCATCACCACCATCGTCAGCATCATCATCATCAGCATCATTATCATCATCATCATCATCCTCATCATCATCATCATCATCATCATCATCATCATCATCAACATTATCCTCATCATCATCACCCGTGTCAGCACACCCCTCACACCTGTCGTGGTGGCCTCATAGGGAGCTCCACCGAAGGCACCAGTGGGTGTGCCCGCATGCGCCCCCACACCCATGTCGGCACACCCCTCACACGTCTCGTGGCCCCATAGGGAGCTCCACAGAAGGTCCCAGTGGGTGTCCAAGCGGGTGTGTCCACATGCGTCCGCCACACCCATGCCGGCACACCCCTCACACGGCTCGTGGCCCCATAAGGGAGCGCCACTGGAGGCCCCAGCGGGTGTGCCCGCATGCGTCCCCCACACCCAATTCGGCACACGCCTCACACGGTTCGTGGCCCCATGGGGAGCTCCACCGAAAGTCCCAGTGGGTGTGCCCGCATGCGTCCCCTACACCCATATCGGCACACGCCTCACACGGCTCGTGGCCCCATAGGGAGCTCCACCGAAGGTCCCAGTGGGTGTGCCCACATGCGTCCCCCACACACACTTCGGCACACGCCTCACACGTTTCGTGGCACATGGGGAACTCCACCGAAGGCACCTGTGGCAGGACTTACATGTGTCCCCGCGACTCACTTCGCCACACCCCGCACACGGTTCGTGGCCCCCATAGGGAGCTCCACAGAAGGCACCAGTGGCAGGGTGTACATACGCCCCCCGCGACTCATTTCGGCACACCCCTCACACGGCTCGTGGCCCCATAGGGAGCTCCACCGAAGGCCCGAATGGCAGGGTTTGCATGCGTCCCCGCGACTCCGTTCGGACACCCCTCACACGGCCCGTGCCAAAAGTAGCTCCACCGAAGGCACCAGTGACAGGACTTACGTGTGCCCCCGCGACTCACTTCGCCACACCCCGCACACGGTTCGTGGCCCCCATAGGGAGCTCCACAGAAGGCACCAGTGGCAGGGTGTACATACGCCCCCCGCGACTCATTTCGGCACACCCCTCCCACGGTTCGTGGCCCCATAGGGAGCTCCCCCGAAGGCCCCAGTGGCAGTGTTCACATGCGTCCCCGCGACTCATCTCGGCACACGCCTCACAAGTTTCGTGGCCACAGATTGAGCTCCACGCAAGGCCCCCATGCGTCCCCGCGATTCGTGCCAGCGCACCCCTCACACGGCTCGTGGCCCGATAACGAGCTCCACCGAAGGCACCAGTGGCAGGGTTCACATGCGTCCCCGCGACTCATTTCGGCACACCCCTCACACGTTTCGTGGCCCCTTAGGGAGCTCCACCGAAAGCCCCAGTGGCAGGGTTTACATGCGTCCCCGCGGCTCATTTCGGCACACCCCTCACACGTGTCGTGGCCCCATAAAGAGCTCCACCGAAGGTCCTGGTTGCGCAGTTCGCATGCTTGTCCCCGCCCAGTACAACGCTTCCTGGCCCCATGGGGAGTTCCACCGAAGGTCTCAGTGACGAAGTCAGCATGCGGTTCCCCCGCACAGTACAGCGTTTCGTGGCCCAAGCAGGAGCTCCACGGAAGACGATACCCACAAATGCGGTACTCACTACTGCATATGATTGGGTACTTCGCACGGATATTGTTGACCCTCGACACTAACAAAAGGAGAACTGGGAATGCATCATGTAAACAAGGCTGCCCCCGCACTCTTCAATCCCTCCTCCTCCTCCCCCTCCTCCTCCTCCTCCTCCTCCTTCTCCGCGCTCTCCTCTTTCTCATTCTCCCCCGTCCTCATCCGCGTCCTCGTCCTCGTCCTCGTCATCCTCCTCCTCCTCCTCCTCCTTCTCCGCCTCGTCCTCGTCCTCCTCCTCCTCCTCCTCCTCCTCCTCCTCCTCCTCCTCCTCCTCCTCCTCCCCCTGATCACCATCATCATCGTCCTCATCAGCATCAGCATCAGCATCATCGTCATCACCATCAGCATCAGCATCTTCATCACCATCATCACCATCATCATCATCATCATCAGCATCATCATCATCATCATCATCATCATCATCATCATCATCATCATCATCATCATCATCATCATCGTCATCGTCATCGTCATCATCATCATCGTGATCATCATCATCAGCAGCATCATCATCACCAGCATCATCATCAGCATCAGCATCGTCATCATCAGCATCACCACCATCCTCATCCTTATCCTCATCATCAGCAGCAGCGGTATCGTCATCATCATCGTCATAGTCGTCGTCATCAGCAGCATCACAAGCATCATCATCAGCATCATCACCAGCACCAGCAGCATAAACATCATCCTCGTCGTCAGCACCATCAGCATCATCATCATCATCATCATCATCATCATCATCAGCAGCAACACCATCATCATCATCACCACCATCAACATCATAATCATCGTCATCATCAACAACAACAACATCAACATGATCCGCATCATCATCATCACCAGCATCATCACCAGCACCGTCATCATCATCATCATCATCATCATCATCAGCATCATCATCATCAGCATCATCATCAACATTATCACCAGCAGCATCCGCATCAGCATCAGCATCATCAGCATCAGCATCGTCATCATCATCAACATCATCAGCGCCAGCAGCATCATCATCACCAGCATCATCATCGTCAGCAGCAGCATCATTATCACCATCATCGTCACCAGCATCAGCATCAGCATCAGCATCAGCATCAGCATCATCAGCATCATCAGCATGAGCATCATCATCAGCAGCAGCATCAGCATCATCGGCATCACAAGCATCCCCTCCCTCCTCCTCCTCCTCATCATCATCATCATAATCATCACCAGCATCTTCACCAGCACCAGCATCAGCATCATCATCAGCAGCAGCATCAACATCAGCATCATTATCATCGGCTCAGGCAGCGGCATCACCATCATCATCATCATCATCATCATCATCATCATCATCATCATCATCATCATCATCATCATCCGATCAGCACTATCATCATCATCAACATCAGTATCATCAGCAGCAGCATCATCATCAGCATCATCACCATCATCATCAGCATCATCAACAACACTATCATCAACAGCATCATCAAAACCATCCTCATCCTCATCCTCATCCGCATCCTCGTCCCCATCCTCATACCCTTTCTCCTCCCCCGCCCCTTCCCCTCCCTCTCACCCACATCCTCTCCATCCTACTCTCTCAAGCGACACGGCATGTGCCCTCTGGTAGCCAATGCAGAGGGGCTCGGGGAACCGTGCAGGTGCGGAGCCAAGAGCACAGGCTGGGTGGCGCTACTCGCAAGACGGTCGCCCGAACAGAGCTTCGCTGGCAGCACTAATGGAAGATCGAGAGTTGTGAAATGAAATGCGCCGATGCCGGCCGAGTTCATCCTATGCCCTTTATGAGCATACGTACTTCTCCTCGCCCGAATAACCAACTCCCACCATCACATTCGTAATCGTTGTCGCTGCCGTCACCGTCGCCGTAAACAATTATCGTCGGCATTTGCAATATCATCAGCATCGTCATCGCGGTCGCTATTGATATGACAACTGCCGTCACCACCAATATCGTCAGAGCCGTCGTTCGTGCAGTCATTATCACCCCCGCAACCGCCACCGTCATCGTCGTCGCCTCCGTCTTTGCGAGCGCCATCTCCATAACAGCCGCTGCCATTGAAGCTACAACCATGGTAGTCAGAACCGCCATCAACATCACCACCATCACAACCTCCACGATCACCATCACCATCTTTATCGTCATCACCGCCAGCGTGTTCACCGTCGCCATCGCCGAAGATGTGCTCGCCACCGCCGCCGTCCCTCCTCGCGATGCTTCTCCGCTCTAGAAAAGGGGGCAGATGCCTGGCAGCCGCCTCCCGGGCGAGCTTGGCGTTGCCAACGTCCGCCACGCCTTCGCACCGGGGCGACCGCCTCACTCAACCTCCTCCTCCTCTGCTGCCTCCCCACCTCCCCGCCCCCCTCCCCTCTCTCTTCGGCAGGCACCCGATATGAATACTACTGCTCCCCCCGATCTCCCCTGACAATGTGCCGCCGTGGCCCCGCCTCTCCCGCGTACTGCTTTCCCCCCACGCACACACACACACGGGATGTCAAGATGAGATTGCCCATGTGGCTTTCCAAAGTCTGGACGTGTCTGCTGTTCCAGCATGGCGCGGGTCACGTTTCACGGTCGGCATGTTGCCCCCAACGTCCAGCATGGGATGCTCTCCCTCGAGCGGGCCACACTTCTGGATCTGACTCGTTCCTCGTCGTTGTCCCCCCGCTTCTCCTCCTCCGCCTTCTCATGGTCCTCCTGCTCCTCCCGCTCATGCTGCTGCTCCTCTTCCTCCCTCCTCATCATCCTCTTCCTCATGTCCACGATCGCGATCATCCGCCATCTTCTCCTCTTCCTCATCCAATGTATGCAACTCCCCTCCCTGTCTGCGCATCACCCTTTTGTCAGCGGCGATGTGGGGCACGAAGCGTCGGGCAGCAGCAGCCGGGGCGCGGCAGAGCTGACTGCGCAGCAAACCGAGAGGGAGAAGAGGAGCGCCGCGCTGAGTGCATGCAAAACTTCGCTCGTGGTGCAAGCGGCCTCAGGCTGCAGAAGTAGACGTGCGAAGCGGCCAGAAGTAAGCGAGACACTCCGAAACACACCAGAATAAATGCAGAATAGCTGACCGAACCTCACACGATTGCTGATCCGCTAGAGCATCCGTTGGCGAATTGAGAAAACACGGCGCAATGGGAAGGGATGGGTACGAGAGGTGGGATGTCAGATACGATCGAAACTGGCTTGCCCCTGACATCAGCACTCTTCTCACATCCGCCTTACCCTTCCCTCCTCGCTCCTCCAGTCATTTCCCTCATCCCGTCCCTCTTCGTCCCTCCCTTCATCATCCTCCCTCCTTCCTGGCTCCTCACACCTCCCTCCTCCCAAGTCCCTCGACTCCCTCCTCCCCCACCCTCCTCGCCACTCCCTCCTCGCTGCTCCCACCTCCTTCCTCGCTCTTCCATCCCCGCCGTCCTCCAACCTCCCTCCTCCCGTCGCTCGCTCGCTCTCTCTCTCTCTCTCCCTCTCTCTCTCTCATTCTGTGTACGAGCTCAGAACCATTGATGTCCATTCAGGTGTTTCAATGATTGTAGCGGTCTCGCCTTTTCGGGCGTCCGACGCTCCAAGACGGCCCGCAGGCCCCCAAGATCGCTCCAAGACTGCCCAAGGGGCCCCAAGATGGCCCAGAGGCCCCCAAGACAGCCCCGCAGACCTCCAAAAAGGCCACGGCGCCCAAAGAGGGACCCACGACTGCCCAGAGAGGCCTCCAAGACGGCCTTCGAAGGCCAAAATCCCAAACAGGCCCCCAGAAGCCCTCAAGGCCCCCAGACGCCTCCACGAGGTCCCCAAGAGGCCCCAGGAGGGACCCAACAGGCCCCGTAGAGGCCATCAAGAGGCTCCCAGCATAGGCGTGTACAAAAAGCAGTGGGCGGCGGTGGTTCGCCGTTGGCGTCTTCGATGCGGGTGTCATCCAAGCGTCCAACGCTTACGAGGGAGACCGTTCCAGCAGCTCATGCCGCAAAACGAAGCTGCGCACCAGCTCTGCATTTCACTAAGCGCCGCGAGCGCCCCAACAATCCACGTCGTTCGCTCTAGCACTTCATTTTTACAGAGCGCGGGCGTTACGGCAGCCCATGGCGTACGCTCCAGCACTGCAGTTGTACAGAGCAAGGGAACCACGACTACCCAGAGAGGCCTCCAAGACGGCCTTCGAAGCCCAAGAGGTCCCGCAGAGGCCTCCAGAGGCCCCCAGATGCCCCCAGAGGCCCCCGCGAGGCCCCCAAGAGGCCCCAGGAGGCCTCCCACGAGGCCCCCAAGAGGCCCCGGGAGGCTCCCAGCATGGGCGCTTCCAAAAAGGCAGGGGGCGGCGTTGCTTCGGCGGTCGCGTCCTCGATACTTTGAGAGCAAGAACCAGGGTGTCACCCCAGCGTCCACAACGTTTACCAAGGGGAACGTTGCGGCAGCCAATCCCGAAAACGTGGCTGCGCACCAGCGCTGCGTACTTACAGAGCGCGAGCGCTCCAGCTGCCCACGGCGTGCGCTCCAGCACCACATGCTTACCGAGCGCACGCACTCCACTCTGGCGCAGGTTTAGCACATGTCGCCTGACAGGGCAGCCAAAGCGAGCCGCGCCCGAGCCTCGGCCTCAACTAACGCAGACGAACCCACATAGTGAAACAGTTCACTTGCACAATGTTGCATCCATTGCAGACGGCCCGGGACGGCCCTAAGAGAGCCCCAATCTGGCCTCCCGAGGGGCCCAAGACGGCCTCTCAGGGAGACCCTCGAAGGCCCATGGCGGACCCACGACGGCCCCACGAGGGCTGCGAGAGACCCCCAAGACGACCAAGAGGGCCCCAAGTCGGCCCAAGACGTCCCAACAGGAGCCCAAGAAAGAATGAAAAAAAAGAAGGAAGGAGACTACTAAAACGAGAAGAGAAGAGAACGACCCACACGATGCGGAAGAGTGTATCACATGTTACGGCTCTCCCAAGCCTCGGGATTGAGGTGTCACACGCTACGGCCTCCTGTGCACCCCCCGAACAGTCGCCACCCAAGGTGCTGGGCTGGCTCGGTGGCGGGACTTGCCGCAGGTAGCTGGATTTTGAGGTGGCCTGATCCCCGTCCATCCCACAGGAGGACAGGGAGGAGTAGAAGAAGGAGGAGGAGGGACGGAGGGAGGGAGGAGGCCCCACCCCTTGCCTCCCCTTCCGCTCCTCTACTAGCCCTCCCACACCCGCGTCCCCCTCCATCCCCCCCGTTTCCCTCGCCCATGGACCCCCTTGCGAAAACCGAGAACGTCGTCCTCTCATCCCCTGCCCCTGTTCTTCCTTCTGGCCTGGAGACAGCCCAAACAAGGCAGGTGTAAACGGAATCGGGGGAATGCACCGCATCGCCGACGCGCAAGAGATGCATCGGTGACGCCGATGAAGCAGAAAATCGGGCTCCAGACCGCGCCGCGTCGGCGATGCATCGGTGATGCGACGCGGTCCTCCGACCTGCCTGCGCACTCGGGCCCCCGTTTGGACGGCCCGGACCGGCCCCAGCTCCGACCACCCGCGGGCGCGCGCCCTGTTTGCAGCCCGCGTTGCTGGGATCCTTGGCGAGGCCTTCCTGGGGTCGAGCCGCCCCAGCGACGGCAGGGGGTGGCAGAGCCTCATCCCCGCCCACCGTCCACCTCCCTCCCGCCCCGTTCCCCCTTCTCCTGCGACCATCGCCCTCTTCCCTCCTCCCTCCTCCCTCCTGCCTCCTCAGGCCTCCTCTTCCTCCTGCCTCCTCCCTCCTCCCTCCTCCCTCCTGCCTCCTCCCTCCTCCCTTCTCCTCCATCCCTTTCCTTACACAACTCCTCCCTGTCGCACCCCGAGGCAGGTCGAAAGGGCAGGCCGGGCCTTTCGCCCGAGGCTTCCTCACCACTTATGGCCCATAAGCCTCGCCTTAGCGCCGCGCACGCTCGTTAAAGAAGTGCCCGAGCTTCGCGGGTCGAGGTCGGGTGGTTTTCAAAATGTGGCTCTCGCCTCAGCACCGCGCTCATTCGTTTTAAAAATTCACAAGAGCCTCACGGGCCCCCATGGTCAACGTATCAGAAACGGCGTTCTGGAAGGACGCAGGACTGTCAAGGCTCAACAGTTTTGTTGATTCGCGGAGTTGAAGCCCCAGGAACGGTGTTCTGGCACGCTTCAGGGTCTCCAAACGGTTGTCTCCTAACGTGGCGGTTCCCTCACTGGATAGGGGCCTATGAAGAGGGAGCTTGGAGGGAGGGTTTGTCCCAACATCATAAATGAGTCTTGGGTTTACACTGGTCCCTCCTCCTCCTTCTCCCCCTCCCTCCCTCCCTCCCCCTCCCTCCTCTCTCCTCCCTCCTCCCTCCTCCCTTCCTCCTCCCCGCTGCTGAGGCGCTGAAGGCAAAATCCGACGCTGGGAGGGTCGAGCACCACGGCGCCCTTGGCAAGCAGAGGCAGATCCAGAAACCGAAGACCGCGATGCAACAGCAGGCGGACAAGGGCCCCTCGGAGGTCACGTACAGCGAGAACGACATCAAGGAGCTGCAAGCATTCCTGGAGACGCTGGCTCCGCGGGACTCCTGGAGCAGAGCGTGCCATCGGTTCTGCGTAGTGGTGCCTTTCATGCGCTGCCACTGCCTCGCCGTTTGTGCTGCATGCTGTTCTGATCAGAGTGTTCGGTCCCTGGCGAGGGCTCGGAGCCCCACGCAGGCGCGTGCACGAGGGCTCATGTCTGGGCACGAGTGCCAGTCTGCGCGGGCGCCTCGCGGCCCCGGGGTGCTGGTTCCCGGGTCTCCTGGGTTCTGGGGCGCCTGAGGTCTTCGTTCTCCGTGGGCCTCCGGGGTTCGGCTCGTGGGCGGCTTCGGGCTCTCTGGTCTCGGGCTTCCGGGGGTCGGGCCGTCCCCGCGGGGGGTGGGGCGTGCGTCCTGCGAACTCCCTTCCTGGGGTCTCGGATGGCGCTCGCTCCTGTCTGGTGCCCTGTCCTGGGTCGTTGCACCGCCGTGTGCAACGAGGTCTACGGGGCTGTGCCCCGAGCCCGCCCAAAAGTGCGCAGGGCGGGCTCCCTGCTCTCTGGCCCCTGGCACATGCCAGGAACAAGTTTAGCGAGAGAGAAAAAAACACCTCCCTTCTCCCTCCTCCCTCCAGCCTCCTGCCTCCTGTCTCCTCCTCATCCCTCCTTCTCCCTCCTCCTCCTCCCTCCTCCCTCATCGTTGACTTTGTCACATGGTCATACTCATACTCCTACTCCCTCCTCCCTCATCCCTCCTCCCACCTCCCTCCCCCACCTCCCTCCCCCTCCTCCTCCTCCTCCTCCTCCTCCTCCTCCTCCTCCTCCTCCTTCCTGCTCCTGCTCCTCCTCCTCCTCCTCCTCCTCCTCCTCCTCCTCCTCCTCCTCGTATCATTCGTACTATTCGTAGAAATCTTCGTACGATCAATCTGATTAGCCGTAGTCTTGATGTTGTTATTCGTAATCTTCCTCCTCTTCCTCCTCCTCCTCCTCCTCCTCCTCCTCCTCCTCCTCCTCCATCCCTCTTCCTCATGAAAAACTCCTCCCTGTCGGAACCCGGGGCCGGTCGTAGGGGCGGGCCAGGCGTTTCGCCTGAGACTTCCTGACCATTTTGCTCTTGAAACTTGAAGTTTGCAACAATTTCACGGATGCAAGGCGGCCCGTTTCCAAAATGTTGTTCTCGCCAGAGCGCCGCGCATATTCGCTTTTGGAGATTTGCTCAAGTTTCACGGATGGAGGACGGCCCGCTTTCAAAATGTTGTTCTCGCCAGAGCGTCGCGAACGTTCTTCGGAAAAACCTGCAAGAGCTTCACTTATGGATGGAGGCCCCCTTTCAAAATTGTTCACATTTGTCTAGTGACCGTTTTTTTTCCCGGGTAACGGCCGGTACCCGGGGGGGGAAGGGGGGGAGGACGAGAGGGTAACGGTAAAGGCGGCCGCGGCGCGCGCCCGCCAGGGTGCGTCCACGCCACCAGTGCATCAATCGCCTGTGTTCACGGCAATGCCCAATGCCTGCGTATACATCACAATGCCTCCATACACACAACAACAGCCGCGTGCACTTCAGCAACGCCCATGCACACCGCAGTGCCTGTGTATACTGCAGCAGCCGTTGTTTATGATTGGATTATACAGACAATGACTTCGTTATATTAAAAGAAACCCTGTGGAGAATGGGGCACCTCTGGATGGATTCCACCGAACACTGCTCTCTATGTAGAATTTGAAAAAGGGAACGTACGGAAAGCGGGGCGCCTCTGGACTCTACGGAAAAAAACGTTGTTTGCTATCGGAAGCCTTCTGGAAATTGGGGCGCCTCTGGATTCCACATAAAAAACATATGTTTTACATACGCGTTTGGAAAGAATCCGTATGGAAACTGGGGCGCTTGAGGATTCTACACGCGAGCACCACAACGCATGCGTACACCACAACACCTGCGTACACCACAAAAGCCGCGCGAAACACAGCGTAAGTGTACACCACAACGCCTGCATGCACCACGTCACTCGCGTACACCACAGCGCCCGTGTGCACCGCAGCAACCGTGTGCAACGCAGCGCCTGTGTGCACCACGCTGCCTGCGTGAACCAAAACGCCTGCGCACACCACAGCGCCCGCAGAAGGCGTGTGGCCGCCCACTTCTCATTTTCTCCACGGCGTTGGGTCTACAACCGATACGTCCATTAAAGACGGGCGGTGAGAACGCAAAACCCTTGGAAACCGAAGTTGGGACTTCTTGACACAAGTTGGCCAATGAAAGCGGCAAAGGACTGGCCGCCGAGGCAAGGATACAAAGGTACCCTGTAGAAGGCGCGCGTCCTTATTAACCGCGTTGACTGTATCGCGTTGTAACCGAACACCGGCCACAAGGAACAGAGAGAGAACCACCGCATTTGCAGTTGCGAAGGAGTGGTCGAAGCAAGCTGCGGTAGCCAAGCCATCGCCAGCTGCAGTGGACGACGACGACGCAGACGACGACGACGACGGACAACGACGACGACGACGAAGACGACGAAGACGACGACGACGACGACGACGACGACGACGACGACGACGACGACGGACAACGACGACGACGACGACGACGACAACGAGCGCCACAACACGTTTGTTAGCACCAGTGCTTGCCGCTCAGACCACGCCATGCCTGTGAGCACAACACCATGCCTGCGGGGGGTCCGCGCGCAGCGTGTAAGGGGGGGGAGCAGGCCCCCTCTCCCCCACGGCGCAATCGATACCGTTACCCAAGGGGGGTGGGAAGGTTGGCCTGGGCAACGAGCGTTACGTCAGAGAGGAAAAAGAAACGGTCACCTGGGAAATCTGCAACAGTTTCACGGACAGGCTTTCAAAATGTAGTTCCCGTATTAGCCCCGTGCAAGTTCGCCTTTCCATTTGCAAGAACTTCACGGATGGAGGGCCGTCCGCTTTGAAAATGTAGTTTTCGGTTCAGCTCCGCACCCAAGTCTTTTGGTCCGGTTTCAAACTGCGGCTCTCGCGTCAGCGACGCGCACATCAGCAGCTTCACGGATGGAGGGCGGTCCGCTTTCACTATATGTCTCTCGCTCTAACGCTGCACAGTCGTCTTCAAACATTGTAAGGGATTCCCTGCTGGAGGGCGGTCCGCTTTCAATCTATGGCTCTCGCCTTAGCGCCTCGCACATTCAGTTTGTAACACGATCAAGGATCATCACGGCGAGCGCCCCTGAAATGCTGCTTTGGCCCGGTGTCGGAATGTCAGGGCGCCACAATGACGTCGATTCCTGCTGAAATCCAAAAACGGTCTTCTGGCACGATTCAAGGTCGTCATGATTCATCAATCCCAGGAAAGCTGCTCCGGTACTGTTCCGGATCTTCAAAAAGTTGCCTTCCAACGGGGCACTTCCCTCAGTGAAGATGAATCCTTGTATGGGGCCTGTGAACGGGGAGCTTGGAGGCAGGGCCTCCCTCCCTCCTTCCTCTCTTTTCACTCCTCCGTCCACACTTTTCCCCCATCCATCCTCTCGTGGCGGCGCGCTCGACGCGCTGCATGAGCGCCGCCACGCGCGCGCCTTCATCGATGGGGGCGCCCATGCACGCGCGCACATCGACGCGCTGTGCGCCGTCGCGCGGGGGGCGGGTGCGGAAGCCCCCCGGCCAGGCATTCCGTCTTGCCCGGCCCGTAGCGGATCTCTGCACGCAAGCTGCCCGCCGCGGCCAGCAGCGCCCGCGCGCCCACGGCTCGGGCACCCCATGGGGAGGTTCGCAGGGCGCTGTCATCCATGAACTGCGCCAGACCGATCTTCGCGGGGGCCGCGGGGTCGATGATCCAGAGCCCGTCGGCGTCGGAGGCGGCCTCGGCCATGACCTGGCCCCGCCTCTCTCCCACCGCCGCTGCCGCCCCCGCTGCCTCCTCGGCCGCCGCGCGGCTGGGCTCGGCCGCGTCGCCCGCGCCGCGGCGGCCCCAGCGAAACGCGCGCGCAGCCGTCTGGCGGGTCGAGGCCCACGCCGAGGAGGTGGGCCGCCGCGGTGGCGGCCGGGAGCCGCCTGGCTGCGCGCGAAGGCGGCCGCCGCGAGCCGCCCCCCCTCCGGCATGCCTGTCGCGAGGGGCTGCGGCGCTGCGGCGACGTGGTCGGCGGTGACGCTGCCGGGGGAGTCGTGGACCATGGCTGATGGACCTCTCCCTCCAAGACGGCCGCGTCGTGGAGGTCGAGGACGACTGCGGGGGGGCAGGCGGCGTCGACGGCGCCCGCGAGGTCCATGAAGTACTCTCCGTATGGGGAGCTTGTGGCACAGCCTGATGACGCGCGCGTCTATGGCGACGCATGCTGCGACGAGCGCGCCCCCCCCGGCCAAGGTGCCCCCCCCCCCGCTGCCCCGAGCCACGCAGCCTCCTCCGAGGGCCCATTGTTCTTCGGCTACTCGCAGTTCCAGCGCGATGATGCTGAGCGTTCTGTAGATGGGGCACAGCTCGGGCGGCTTTCTGGGCTCGCAAATGTGGAACGTGGGTCGCGGCGCCCACGCGCGGGGATGACCCTGCACTGCACTGCGCTGCCAGGAGGAAGGTGGCGCGCACCGGGGCGAGCAGCTTAACGCTCGCGCACGGAGGCCCCGCGCTGGCACGGCCGGTCTTGACCCTGTCGACGGCGTCTTGGAGCTGCTCCGCGGTGCATTCCAGGCGGTCGGTGCCACGCAGCTCTCGCCAGGCTCGGCGGTCATCCTGGCGGACTGCAGCGCGCCGGGCCGCCGTCGCCCGGAGCTCCTCCGCGCCCGGCCCCAATCACTGGGCTCGGACTCGGCCGCGCTGCGCGATGTAATCCACGGCCCCAGCGAGGGCCCCGTCGCCGTGGATCACGGTGGCGGGCCCCGTCGGGCTCTGCATCGCGCCGGGAAGCCCCGCGCCACGTTCGCGGAGCAGTCTGCTGAGGCACGCGTCTGCCGCTGCTGGGTCGGTCGCAAAGATTTCGCCGCGGCGGGTTGCCCGGCGACGGGCGGAATCCCGCGCGCGACCCATCGCGCGCGCCCGTGCGCCGGAGACGAAGTCCAACGCGCGGCTCGGCGCCGCCGCGGCGGGCCGCCGGGCTCGGGCAGCGGCGCCACTCCAAGGAGCCACCCGTGGACCGCTACGAGGAAAGCGGGGCCTCGCCGCAGCTATGAGACGGACGACACCGCGACCACGAGCTCCGACACGCTTTCTGAGCGCCAGCTGGCTCGACGGCGCGCCCAACGCTGGGTCTCCGCGGCCGCAAAGCTGGAGAAGTTGTCGAGCGCGAGCATTTGAGCCTCCTGCCATTGGGCCGGGCTACGGCGGTATAATTCACGTGGCCCACAGCTGCCCGTGCGCCCCCGCGGGCTGGGCGGCTGCGCCCTGGGTAGTGGCCCAGGTCTGCGCTGCCAAACGTCTCGCGGCTGCGCCCGCATAACCCTGGCAAGCAAACAGTAAACCCCCCGGCGATATCGCTAGCACAGAAAAAAATATAAATAATTATTGTGGGCGGCGCCCTCCGGCGATATCGTTAGCACATTTAAAAAATAAAAATAATTAATTAATAAATTTGCCCCCCCGGGCCCGAAGCTGGCGGCAACGCGAGGCGACAGCCTGGAGAACCAACGCGCACGAACGCTTGCCTATGGGTTCCCGCCTTGCTAGAACACTGGGAAACTGACGCGCATCGGAAATCAAAGGTAAATCATAAATTACAAACAATGAAATCACCGCAAGCAACTATACTTGAAAGGACCACCCAAAGGAATCCCAGAGAAATCTCAGAAGGAAACCCACGCAGAATCTCTAAGGACCCCTATTGGAAATTCAAAAAAATCTCAAAAAGGAACCCCGCAGAAATCGCAAAGGGATCTCAGCGGCAGCTCAAACGAACCACAAAGGAATCTAAGGAATCTGGAAAACGCGGGCTCGCGTGGACATAAGCAAACCCTATTGCGGCCGCACTAGGGAAATTGTTTTTTTTTTTTTCACGGGGTCCTATGGGAGAGTCCACGGAGGGATATCGCAGACGGATTCCGCGAATCCCCCCGCGATATGTTAGCACATTTATTGAAAATAAAATAATTCACAGGCGCCGGAGGTCGATGGGATGCTCCCTTCAGGGATTGTCGAAGGAATGTCAGAGGAACTCGAAAGAACCCCCAAAGGAATCCCATAAGAATATCACAAGAAATCCCACGCACGATATCGAAGGAACCAATGGAAGTTCAAAGCAATCTCAAAGGAGCCCAACAGAAATCGCAAAGGCATCTCAGCGGCAGCTCAAACGAACCACAAAGGAATCTAAGGAATTTGGAAAACGCGGGCTCGCGTGGACATAAGCAATCCCTATTGCGACCGCACTAGGGAAATTGATTCTTTCAGGGGATCCTATGGGAGAGTCCACGGAGGGATATCGCAGACGGATTCCGCGAACCCCCCCGCGATATGTTAGCACATGCACTGAAAATTATCCACCGCCCCGGATGTCGATGTGATGCTCTCTTAAGCAATGGGGTATCAAACGGATATGACCGGAGCCTCAAGGGACCCCCAGAATAACACCAAAGGAACACAAGAGCAGTCTCAAAGGAGTCCCAAAATAATCACAATGGAAGCGGCAAGGAATCTCAAAAGAAGCCAATCGGAGTATCAGAGGAATCTCTGGCGAATCTCACAGAAACGCACATAATCATAGGAAACGACTCTGGGCAGGTGTGCCTTGTCGCTGGGCTCTGGACTACAAGGGGACCGGGCATTCAGAGGCTTGTAGAGGCCTTTCTGGATGCCTCCTGGGAACCTCTGGGGACCTCCCCTCCGCGGACCTCTGGCGACCTGCGGGGGATATCGCTTCCGCCCCGGCCCCGGTGCCGGAAGCGTTATAATTTCCTCTGATGAGGGGGGGGGGGGGAGGGGGGTTTACTGATTGCTTCCCAGGGTTAGGGCGCGGGCGCGCCTGACTGCTTTGCAGTGGGCTCCATCATGGACGACGGCTGCGGGGCCTCGTCTGGGGGCGGCACGATGGTTGGCGAGCGCTTCGCGGAGCGATTGCTGAAACTGGGCCTCAGCGTCGGCGGGCGGGGTGGCCAGGACACTCCCGGTTCTCAGGGTGCGTCTCGGGGGCGGCCGCCCGGGCGGGGGGGCGGGGCGGCTGCGCCTGGGCCGGACTCGGCACAGGGCGGGGCGCAAGGTCTTGCGGGCCTTGGCGGGGGTCTGCGAAGGGGCGCCGCCGGCGTGGACGACGGTGCCCGGCGCCGTCGGGTGGCCGGTCACCAGGATGGCCGCCGCTCCCGTCGGGGCCGCATTGCACGCGGGCGCGCCAGGGGCGCGCGCCAAGCGGGGAAACGCGAAGTCGTCGCGGCCGCGGCCGCTCCGGAGCCTCGAACTCTGCGCTCGTCTGGGGGGACCGCGGCGACCCGGGGCCCTGGCGCGGCGACTTTCGGCGGCGGCGCCTGCTCCGCGACCCGCGCGTGGAGCTCGCGCTGGACCCCGCCTGGCGGCTCCTGCTAATGACCTTGCGGTAGTCCGCCCTCGGGAGCGCGTGGTTCGTGAATGTACAGTTGAAGATTGCCTGGGACGCGCGCTCGACCTTGGGTTTCTCGCAGTACGGCATGGCGCTCGTCGTCGACAGCTGGCGGGCCACCTTCGTGATGCACTCGACGTAGGCCTCGCGGGCGTGGGTCCTGGAGCGGCCATCCAGGATGCGCTCGATCTTCCGGAGGACTGGGTTGAAGAAAGCCATCGTCTTGCTGGGTCGAAACCCAGGCGCAAGTAAAACTCCTGGTCCGTGGGGAGCGTCGCCGTGGCAGCCTTCCAAATCAAAATGGCCGGGGCTGGTCGGGGCGGGTGGGCACGCGGTGCCCGGCGGGTCGCTGGGCGCGGGTTGAGCCTACATGTGGCCACGGCGGGGGCCGGGTTAGGGGCCAGGTCAGACGACGCATCGGTCAGGCCCTGCAGGCAGGGCTGCCGCGCGAGGTCCGCCATATTGGATCACAATGGCGGCGGGAGGGAAGGGGCGGGAGGGGGGAGGGGGAAGGGGAGGAGCAACGGGGGCGGGGACGGACGAGAGAGGAGGGAGGGGAGAAGGGGGGGGGAGGGGAGAGGGCAGGGAAGGGCGGGACCCCCTGGCTGCCGCCAAGCTGCCGGGCGCATAGAGCACCCGGCCTGTGCCTCGGCAGTCGCATCTGTCTGTCGCTCCCGGCGCGGAAGCGCTGCCAGCCAGCCTGTTCGGAACCCCGGCGCTTCCGGTCGCAGCGGCGGAGGGAGGGAGGAGGGAGGGGGAACGAGGGTGGTGACTCCCCCCTCCCGCCCGGCCACGCGCCACCTCGGCGCGGGTCTCAAGGGCCTGGCGGCGACGACGACGACGACGACGACGACGACGACGACGACGACGACGACGACGACGACGGCGGCGCCAACGACGACGATGACGACGACGACGACGCCGACGACGACGACGACGGCGACGACGACGACGACGACGACAGCGACGGCGGCGGCCGGCGACGGCCAGCGACGGCGAGGACGATGGGAAAAAGGGGGGAGGGAGAGGAGAGGAAAGGGCAGGGGGAGGGGGAAAGGGGGGAAGGGCCGGCGGACAGCGGGAGAGGGGGCGAGGAGGGAAGGGTCGGCCGACGGCTCGATCCTCCCCTTCCCCCTCCTCCTTTTACCACCACGATCTACCTCCTCTCAATAATCCCTCCTTCCTTTCCCCCCCTCCTAGAAAGGCGGAATAGCGATCTATGAGAAGACCAGATCGTGATCCAGCCCGCCTACCCCCACCAACAATCGATTGTCTTGAATTGGTAGGGGTAGGGTTTGGATTCCGCAACGTGCTCGACGAATTCCGAACCCTGCCCCCGCCGTCTATCGACTTACCTGAACAGTGGATCGGCGAGGTTAGGGTTCGGATTTTGCCTGGCAGCGCCCAGACCCTGCCTCGCAAGGAGGCGCAGCGCGTCCTGGTAGGCGGTCTCGGCCTCGTCCCACCGCTGCATGTCGAAAAGCGCCTCGGCGCCAGCAAGGTTGGTACACTACAGGGGGAGCCCTGAAAGGCGGATACCCGTGCGCATTCGGGGTGTGTCGCGTGAGCCTCCCGGAGGCCCAGAGACCAAGGTGATTAAGAAAGCTGAAATTGCTCAACGATTCCGACCTCGGAGGGTGCACCTGGCCAAATGCCCAGGACCTTGCTCGCCCAAGACGATCCCGAGAGCCCCCAGAGATCCCCCCAGAGGCTCCACGATGGCCCCCTGGAGACTGGCAAGGTATGATGGCGGCATGGGCAGGTGCACAGGCCACCAGATGCCTCTGCACAGCTGCAGTGTCTCAAGAGGCACTCAAGACTGTGCGGCTTTGTTTGCCCCTCCTCCTCCTCATCCTCCTCCTCCTCCTCCTCCTCCTCCTCCTCAGAGGAGGACCGACCACGTCTGGCCGCGTGCGAAACATCTGGGTGACAGAATTGGTGCTGGCATGTAGACCCACCGGCATGAGAAACCAAGGACTGCTGGACTGAACGCGGCTGAGACCTCCGTTATCCATACTCTCCGGGCGCTTCTTGCACGAAATATGAATATGGTGCAGTGGAGATCGAGCCCAAGCGAGGCAAGTGGCTGACGGGGGGGAAGGGTCAGGACATCGGAGAGCCGCCCCAAGGCGCCGGGAGCCTTCCCCTTCCGGGAGTACCCCTTAACGAAGCCAGGGTCGATCTGCAGGCACTTCTCAGCGTCGTTGAGGGCACTGTCGTGGGAGCCCTGCCCCACACTCCAGGCTGCACAGTCGGTCCTCCCTCCCTTCACGATCATCAGCATCAGCATCATCATCCAGGCTGCACAGTCGGTCCTCCCTCCCTTCACGATCATCAGCATCAGCATCATCATCATCATCATCATCATCATCATCATCATCATCATCATCATCATCATCATCATCATCATCATCATCATCATCATCGTCAACATCATCATCATCATCATCATCAACAACAACAACATCATCATCATCATCATCATCGTCATCAGCATCAGCATCATCATCATCATCGTCATCAGCATCAGCATCAACAACATCATCATCGTCATCAGCATCAGCATCATCAACATCACCAATCAGCATCATCATGCGTATCATCAGCAGCAGCAGCATCGTCATCCGCAGCATCATCATAATCCGCATGATGTTCATCATTGTCACCACTACCACCACCACCACCAGCATCATCATCATCAGCATCGTCATCATAATCAGCCATCGCAACAGAATAATGGTCATCTGCATCGTTACCATAATGTTCATCATGATCACCATCATGATCACCATCAACATCAACATCAGCATCATCCCATCACCAATAGCAATAACATCAGCATCGCCAACAGCATCATCATCATCATCAGAATCAGCATCATCAACATCATCAGAAGCAACATCCTCATCAATAATAGCATATCATCATCCGAATCAATATCGTCCGAATCAGCACAAGCATGCGTGACAGCTTCATTAGCAGCAGCATCACAATCATCAACCCTCTCATCGTCCATAACAGCATCACAAATGCCATCATCAACATCGTCACCTTCATTGCCAATATCAGATCCACCGTATTCACCACCACAACCGTAAGCAGCCTCACTATCACCAAAACCACCACCTCCACCTCCACCTCCACCACCACCACCACCATCAGCATCATCATCATCAGCATCAGCATCATCATCAGCATCATCATCAGAATCTGCATCATCGGCATCATCATCGTCATCATCATCAAGGCGGGCTGAAGTGTGGCCTGATCTGTGCCGCCAGCGCCAGCCCTCGTTGCGGGACAACTCTTTGCTCCGCCCGCCGTGGCAGGCCGCCGACGGGCGGGCAAGGCCTGGAGCGACAGTCGGGCTACTTCGGCCCAGCTTCGTCCTCGGCCCTGCGGGCGGGCCCCTGCGATGGCGGCACGCGTGCTGGACGTGCATGGCGTCTGTGACCCACTGCATGTTCTTCGCCGCCGAGGCCGCGTGTGTATGGTGTGTGGTGTGTCGTGAGTATGTGTGGTTGCGTGTGGTTGTGCTTGTGGTTGGTTGTGTGTGCGGTTGTTTCTGTGCGTGTGCGTGTGTGTGTGTGTCTGCTTGTGTTTGTGTGTGCGTGTGTGTCTTTGTGTGCGTCTTTGAGTGTGTCGGTGTGTGTGTGTGTGCCGTCGTGGGCGTCGTTGTGTGTGTGTCGCTGTGAGGTTGTGTGTTTGTGTTGGTTTGCGCGTATTGTGTGTATCGTTATGTGTGTGTGTGTCTGTGCGTTTGTGGTTGTGTATTTGTGGGTGTGCGTCTGTGTGTCTTTGTGTGTTGGGTGTCGTTGTGTGTTTGTGTGTCTGTGTGCCTGTGTGTGTGGTTGAACTTGTGTGTCTGTGTGATTTGTGGTGTCCGTGTGTGTGTGTTGTGTGTGTGCCCTTGTGTGTGTCGTTGTGGGTCATCCTAGATGCCGTTTGTATGTGGGCCTGTGCGTTTGTGCCCGTGTGTGTCGTTATGGTTGTGTGTCTATGTGCGTATTGTTGTGAGTGTGTGGCGCTGTGTGCCTGTGTGCCTTTGTGTGTCTGTGTGTGTTTGTGTGCGTGTGCTTGTCTTTGAATGTGTGTGCCGTTGTGTGTGCCTTTACGTCGGTGTGTCTGTGTGTGGCGCTGTGTGTGTCGTTGTGTGCATGTGTGTGTGTCTATGTGCGCGTGCCGTTTGTGTGTGTGTTCGTGTGGTTGTGTGTGTCGTTGTGTGCCTGTGTGTCCTTGTGTGCCTGTCATCGTGTGTCGGTGTGTGTTGTGGCTGTGTGTGTCGTTGTGCGCGTGTGTCTTTGCATGTTGTTTGTGTGCCGTTGTGGTTGTGTCGTTGTTTGTGTGTGTCGTTGAGTGTATGTCGTTGTGTGTGTCTGTGCGTTTGCGCTTATATGTGTCGTTATGTTTGTGTGTGCGTGTGTGTCTGCCTGTGTGGCGTTGTGTGTGTGTCGCTGTTGTTGTGTGTCTTTGTGTTTGCATGTGTATGTATATGTGTGTGTCGGTGTGTGGCTTGCTACATGCATATGTGCATATGTGCGTTTATGCGTGTATGTGTCTGTGTGTGCCCCCCTTTGTGTGTGTCGTGGTGTGTGTGCGTGTGTGTGTTTGCGTTTGTGTGCCTGTCCGTGTCGTTGTGTGTGTCCTTGTGTGTATGTGTGTGTTAATGTTCGTGTCCATGTGCTGTTGTCGTGCGGAGACCCTGGACTCATGTTCCCTGAGCCAAACAATTTCGATCCATACATCTCGGCCCACATCTCGTGATACCCGGCAGCCCTCCTCGAGGCCGCCGTGCATGCTAGCGAACTCGCCAGTACAACCAAGTCAAATTACACACTACTGCGCCGAAGCCCACTCGGTTCTGCCAATGAAACAAAAACAGAAACAGCCATGGTAAATGAAACTTCTCACTCACGCACGCGCGTTATCGGGTCCATCTTGCGCCCTTGCACCATATCTCATCGACCTCGGAAGCTGATCAGGCTTCGTCGTACACGCCTGGACAATCCAGCACCGCTCAACGCAGACGGTATCTCGCAATGGCTGTCCAGGGCGCGTGCAACATGGTTAATGCCAAGCTCCCCACTCCTGAGCCCTCAACGGCGCATACCGCCCGACGGCAGCAGGATGCAGTTTGCCCCTGCTCTTGTATGTCACGGGCCCTTGCACCGCAACGGGCCTCGTCTCTCTGATTTGCGGCACCTCCGGCTCAGGCGAATCATTCCGCCTCCTCCTCGATTGCGACATGTCCCTCGATCCCTTCGGGACCCGACCTTTCTTTTGGTCATCGGCCCTCGGGTCCTGAGGACCTGTCACACAACTGAACCTAGGGCCTTGAGAATCCACCCCGCAACCCGCGTGTCCAAAATCTCTGTCCTGGCATCCGCGCCCACAACTCCTTGCTCCTTCGCCGCTAGTGCAGCAACTGAATACCACTGCCGCTAAAATCAGCACCAGGGGGATCATTCGTCATACTGGCCGCGATGTTAACTCCGCCCTCGCAGCAGAACTCCGTCGACTCGGCCATGGGCGTTGCCGGCATGACCGCCAGCACTTTCGTCAACACCTCTAAAGCTCGTCATCGCCATCGGGATCAGCCCCGACGTCTCCCCGTGCCTCTTGAACGTTCCCTTGCCCATCAACTTGGTGCTTATGCCCGCCACCTGGTCCTTCGCACTCGCCTCCACCACCTCCGTGTCGCCCTCCAGAACTGGGCCCCGATGCCCTGTCCCCCTTGCCTGTAGAAGTCGTGCTCGCCCGACTCCATGTCTGTGGACCATGCCTTTCGGCTCTGCTGAGTCCGTCTCCATCTCCAGGGTGATCTTGACCTGCTCACCCCCCATCTCAGCCGTCTCCTGCCACGCGCGTTCGACGTCTAGTCCCCCGGCCATGCTTGACCCCATCGCGTAGAACTCCGACTCCACACTCGATAATGCCATCGCCGCTTGCGATAGAAGCCACCTCTCCAGTAGATGAGCTCCCACGCGAATGCCCCCTGATGAAATACTCCCACACGTCGCCTCCTTCACGTATCTGACCAGACGCTTTGCTTCAGAGTGCGCTTCGCCCGCTGGCCGTCCAACGAACAGCTTGGCCCTCGAACGTCGCCCTGCATATCCCATCGACCCCCAGCTAGGCACTGAGCAATACCACCACAACTGCGGGAGACCATCGAACTCTGCCGCGCCACTGGGTCCTCGGCGTCTCGAACCCATTGATTGCGTGCTTCGAGCTCAGCGTCTCGGCCGCCTTGTCCTGCCTCAAATCACGCACTTCCACCGTCTGCAAGATCAGCTCCGGGCCTGTCGGAATACCGAAGCCCTCCTCGCCCCAAAGAACTGCCCTGCAAAGAAAGGCTCCGTCTGCTGCTCCTCCTAGCCCCATTCGAGGCTGAGGCTTGACCTTGCAACGACGCGCCATGGCATCGTCAAGCGCGCCCAGCTCATCACCGCATGCCTCCACAGCGAAATCATCCCTATGTCCTGCACAGAGCGGGCCAGTACCTGGATGGTGGCACAGACAGCACGCCGCCTGCAACTCCTGGGACCCAGCATGGCTGAAGTCGTCTCGAACTTCTCCCTGAAACAGCTTTGGTGCCTCTGGTGTGCCATGCAGCGCCTCCTTCAACTTCCAGGGCATTCCTGGTCGTCTTTGTTCTGCTGGTGGCCAACAGCACTGGGGCTCCATCGGCGACTCATGAAAGAACCCTACTGAGATATCCTAGCACCCAAGCTTCCTCACCCTCTTCTCCTTCGGCCTTGCCGAAGCTGCCCGTGATACCACCAACTTAACTGCCCGCAATGCGCAACTGCTGCTATGAACACAACGGTTCCTCACGGCCCATTCATTGCGCAACATGGCCCACTTCTTGCTATAGACCCCCGCGTTGTCGAACCTATTCGTCCAATCCCCGAACTCCTCCATGCACGGAATCTCGTTGGCCCTGCCGTTGGTAGCCAGATTTGACCCCGCAACTTCTCGCCAGCGCACGCGCCCATGACTCCGCCCCCCGCCAGCTCGTCGCAATTCACCCTCGGCTCGAACTCTTCGCATACATGTCGGCCCTCATCCTTGGAGATCGCCGAAAGGGCGCTGACCTTCATAACCTCGCCCCTTCTTGGCGTCAACGAGATCACGCCCCCATCTGCTACTATCGCGCTGCCTGCCGTCTCCACGCCCATGTCCATGGAGTCTCCTGGTCCGATGTGACGTCCTACCAGTGTGCCTGCTCCTCGATGTCCTGCTGGTGGTGCTGCTGCGCGTCCTTCTGATTGGGCTTCTCCTGCTGGGTCCGCCGCCTCGATCCTGGGCTCAGCGTCGTCGAAGATCGTCGAGCACCTCGCCCTGCCCCTCGCGCCGTGCACTGCCAAACTCCCTTCACACGCGGAACGCGCATCAGTGGACCAACGCCGCTCGACAAGTGCCCTCGTAATGTACCGTCTCATTCGCATTACTTCATTATGGCCCTTTCGCCTCCAGTCCTCGGGTTTCCACGGCGCCCCTCGCGATGATGCGGCAGACCACTTTGATGCACTTGTTCCCGGCACTCGTCAGCCCCCTCGCCCTAGCATGCTCAAGTCCACGCGCGTTCCCCACGATAACCTCGCAGTTCTCGCCCCGCCTGCCCGGGTAGGTAGCTCCGCCCCAGCTCGGCCCCAGTTTGGAATGACCCCTCGCCTGGATTTCGCGACCGATCGCCTCGCCTGTCCTACGCAGCTCCGATTTGCACATATCTCGCCCCGACCGCTCCAAGGCTGCACTGTCATCTGTCTTGATCGCCAACCTGGTGAGCCGATGCCCCACGCCCCTGACCAACCACGGCATGACCCGGATTCTAGGACCAATCTTCACCTTCAGGTTGAACTCAGACTCGTTGGTAATTTGCACAGTAGAGACGCCACTGGCTCCGCCGCATTCTCGATCGCTCCGTTGTTTTGTCGAGATATGTTGACTTCTCAACTAGCGCGCTGCGTTTCCTCCTGTCCCCCGATGCCGCGGCGACGTCCTGTAGCGATAGCTCCTGGCCGCCCTTCCGGACACCGCCCCCAGCCCCCACTCCACCGCCGAGATGACGTACTCACTGGGCCCTTTGTGTATCGCCTTGGTCGATGCCACCACATCCCCCTTCTTCTGGATCATCCCAAGGATGCAAACCACCTCCGTCTCCAGCTCGGTGTTCGCGAAGCAGTAATCCATGCTGATGACTGGCATAGCCTGAGCCTCATGAGGATTGTCTTCTTGTGACCATCCCCCTTGCCATGTCTCCACAGACACCACTCGCCCCTGCCTCCGACCCGCCCGCGCGCCCCCGCGTGCACGGCAATCTCCTCCAACGTCGGCCCCTGCATATCATTCTTGGCATTTGGTACCCGAGTCCCCGCATTCTCCCCCGATTCTCGTCGAACCCTCGCGTCCTCTTCTCTGTCGGCTCCATCCAGCGGGCACAGCGTGACGGCGTCCACGTCGCAACTGTAGATCCCGCATCTCTTGGCTATCCTGAGTGGTTTGTCTGTCGCGTTCTCGGTCGCCCCCACCTCAATCCCCTTCCTGAGCCCACGGCCCACTGACTGGCCGACCGCTGCTCCACCATACTCGCCAAACCTCGCGCCTTGAGACCCCTTCACCCAACCGCTGACCGCAATCATTGTTGGGCGCCCATCACGCACATCCAACTGCCCTCGCATCGACTGCCTGGCCCCAACTACCTCCATGTGCACCGTCTAACACCCGTCCGCGCATGTCTAAGAACCGTCGGCTCGCCGCAGCGGCGGCGCGTCGGCTTCTTCTCGCGGCAGTCGCGGTGCGAAACTTGAGGAACTGACTCCAATCGACCATGACCTCGACCCCCCCATCGTTATCGAAGTCTCTCATCGGATTCAGGTAGCATTCGCCTTTCTCCTTCTTAACGTCGCTGGCGCCCCTCATCCTCACTATCTGCGATATGCTGATCATCCAGCTCATGGCCCTCGCAGTCTGCGATTTGCTGGTCATCGTTCTGGCTAATGTCTCGTGCTGACGCGGCCTTCGGCTTGCCATGACTGTCGTCTCACTCACCTCGTCTTTCGTCCCTCTACCGTCCTTCGTCTCCTGCGCGGCACCCCTGCACCTCATCAGCGCGCGCCCCTTCTCGTCGCAGTCCTTGCCGCGCTTGGCTTCGCCACCCTTCCCATGCCTGCAAAACGTGAGCGCATCCGAATCCGTCGGTACGTGGCCTCTTGGTGCAATCGCCACCTGCTTTGACCTCGAGCAGTTGAGCACCTCTGCCCCGTCCTCCGCACAAGTCGTGAACCTCGCCTCGTTCGGCCCCAGGCGTTCTCGAAGCGCGCCTGGAACCCGTCTCGCGCATAGAAACATCTGCTTGATTGACTCCGCGACCTCCTTGCCAGTCTGCTCCTCGCACCGCTGCAACAGCGCCCCCCATGATACGATGCCCTTGATCGGGCCCTTCGCCTGCGCACGTGGATAAAGATAGAACCCCACATCCCCGAGACTCGCGACAGCACCTCCAGCTATAACTCCACATGCAATAATCGCCCAGCTTCCAGGCCTGCTCCTGAAGGAACGCTTTTCACAATGCCCTGCGCCTTGTCCTCGGCTGCCCGCGCCAGTATGTAATATAGGATGGTGCTCATATGCTGGGCATCTGCGTCTCGATCTCCATGCGCGTGGTCCTCAGCGCCCTCCTGACCCCGTCCATCATCAGATCGGCCATGCGTGGATCCACTGCCATACAGTAAGCCTCTACGACAAAACTCCAGTTCCCCCATGTGATCACATCCTTGTACTTCGCACTCTCGTCCAGCTCGGCTGAGAACTTGTCAAGTCCCCCGAGCAGCTGCTTGGCATCTTCCAACGAATCCATACGATGGACAGGTCCTCCTCGGTACTCCTCATGTCCTGATATTCCCGCTGCTCACGCTGTTGCCCGAGCGTTATCCCATCGAGCCTGCCTCTCGAGCTCCCTGATCTGATCACGCTGTCTGACCACTACGCTCTCCATGGGCACAAGAAAAAATCAATTCTCCTCCGCGACAGCCATCTCTGGCCGCGAAATCTGGAGCCTGGCCGTGGGCCCAGTCAGGCCCCGCAACCACGCGGAACGGCGAAACCTCTGGATCCCTTGTCCATGAGCCAAACAGTTTCAGCCCATATATCTCAGCTCACATCTCGTGAAAGCCTGCAATATGTGCGTTATTGTGTGCTTGTGCGTTTGTGTGTGCGTTTGTGCGTCTTCGTGCGTGTGTCGTTGACAGGAGCGATGTGCGTGTGTCTGGTTATGCCTGTGTTTGTTTTTGCGTTTGTGCCTGTGTGTGTCTTTGTGTGTATGTGTGAGTTTGTCTTTGTGTGTGCTTGTCTTTGTGTGTGTCTTTGTGTGTTGTCTGCCTGTCTGTGTACTTGTGAATGCTGACAGCTGTTTCCTGGACTTCATGCCCGCCCGCTGCACCATCACCATTCACGTCCTCGCCTTGGCATTCTTGGTTTACCTCGGATTCGCTGCAGCCGGCCGCTGCTGATGGATCGTGGCAGGAGGCGCCAGGCACTACATGTGTGCCGAGTCTCTGTCACGATGCGCGGATGTTGATTCCCCTGGCCTTGGCCGCAGCGTCGTGGCGCGCCAGAAGTTATTGATCCATCCTCTGCTGAGAGCTCGAGGTCAATGGTGTTCCCCGCCGCTAGCCTCTCGTCCCCACGTCGTTCCTGGCGATGGGGCTGGGGGGAGATCCGCATTGAGGAGGAAAAGTGGGCCCCGAGGCAACAGGCACGGCGACTGAGGACGCGGTGAACGTCCCGATCGCCTGCTGCGCGCATTTTGCCCAACTGTGCCACCGTTCTGGCAAAGGCCGCTCGTGGGAAGTGAGGGAGGGAGGGCACAGGACACGCCGATTCGCCCGAGCTGGCTGTCCTGACTTCTACTCCTGCTCTCAGTCAGTCTCGTGCCCGCATCGATGCTCAGACTCTCGCCGCCGCTCATACTCCAAATCCTAGTCCGAATCAATCTTGCGCCACCTCTGAGCCCGGTAACTCGCCTGCCACAAGGGCGAGAGGTCCACTCCAAGCTAGGAATCTAACTGGGAACATGGCCGGCGCTACTGCGAGAACACTGGGGAGCTGCCCGACGGGGAGGCGAGACCACAACTCCTCTACAACGAGAGCTCCATTCCGAGCCAAGAAAGCGGACGACACGGAAGAAAAAACACGGTTCTGAGACGGGAGCGTGGCTGGCGGCAATGGCAAGGCACCATTGGGATCCAAAAATATTGCTGGTGCTGTGGCGAAAGCTCCGCTCCGTGCCAGGACTGCGGCCTGTGTTGAGACCAAGACATCGGGACCACTGAGAGCCTCCAGGACTTCCACACGTGCGCGCACCGCACGGGCTGTTCAAGAATGCTTTCGAGAAAAGCTGCAGGATGAAGTAAAGCCACGCGCGAGACAGGCTCGCATGAACCCCTTCCCGCCTTGGACGACCAGGCGCCAGAGCGGTTTGAGTAGTACCTCTCGGCGAGGGCTTCGAAGAGGGAGCAGAGAGTGAGGGGAGGGAATCAAAACGCTGGCCCGCAGGAGGCAGTCCACCGGCACCACTGGGAACTCCATCACCCCTAAGCCCCTGGACCACCCCCTCTCCCCTGGGCACCCGGCGGACATGATGGTATGTTTCACCGCCCCCTGGATGATCCGCGCCAACGGCTCCTCGCACCCACTCCGCAAGAGCACTGGTCCACAGTCGGATGGCAAAGCTCTCGAAATCTTTGGGCGGTCACTATGTACAGACCCGAGGCGTCGGAGAGTCATAGCGTGGCTTGAGAGCGGGCAGGGAGACCTTTTGTTCTTGGGCGGGAGCTCCAGAGAGCGGCATTCAGCATCGTCGTGAGATGAAGAAATACTTCGCAGCGTAGTTGACTCCTCCCCCCTACGATACGACCATGGCAAGCCAGCATACGCGGAACAGAGAGAGAGGAGAGAGAGAGAGAGAGGAGATAGAGACAGAGAAAGAGAGAGACAAACGAAAGACAGAGAGAGAGAGAGCGCGAAAAAGGCAGGGAGGGAGAAGAAGGGAGAGAGAAGAAGAGAGAGAGAGAGAGAGAGAAAAAAAAAAAAAAAGAGACAGAGATATGGAGAGAGATAGAGAGATGGAGAGAGTGAAAGCGATATAGAGAGAGCGATATTCGGCTCCGAGGGTGCGTTTGAAGAACAACATGAACATACTCCGAGGTCCGCACGGATTTCTTGGGTCGGCGCCGGACGCCCCCTCACATGGCGCGCGAAACGCGCCGTGTGCTGCGCAAGAGGCGCCACCGGGAGACGGGGTGCCCAAAGCCGACCGAAGAAATCCGCGCGAGCCTCCGCAAGCTTGCTCTGGTATCGTTGTCGCTGTTCTTCTAGAGCAGCTAAGACGTATGTCTGGAGTCTGTGTCACCGTCCGCGCGGTCGGAGAAAGCCGAGGCGGCGCAGGGCACGCGGCGTTGCTTGGGTCCAGGTTGATGGCCTTGTTGTAATGCTTCACGGCCTGACAAGCAAGGCTCGGTCTGCGAAACAAGCCTGCCAATGATAGGACGACGGCAAGAAGAAAACAACATGTTGCAGAGGGGATATTTGTCACTTGGCCGGCATGGAAGGTGCATCGGGCGCCGCAGTCAATCCAGAGTGCTCCCGACCGCTCTGAGAGCGTTGCGGGACGCTCTGGAACGATGTTGTGTTCTTCCCAAGCCTGACTGACTTGGGAACTCCAGGTGCGGGCACTCCTACCCCTGAAGGAAGGGCACTCCTGATGCCAAGACGTTACAAGTATGAGTTCGGTGCTTGGCAAATCGAAAAAAATAGCCCACCGACCCTGCCGGCATGTGTGAGACGCTTTTCCGTTTGAGTCGTCGTCGTCGACGTCGCCACTCCCCCCCTTTCCCTGGGCCCTCCTTCCCGAGCGATCCAGCCAGACAGATATCAAACAACGTCGCAATTAATTCAAATGGTAGCGGGAGGGTCCAGGGGGAGGTAGCGAGGGTGGCCCCATGGGAGGTTATGGGGGGATCCCCGGGGTGGTCCTGGGGGTCGTGAACTCCCCCCTGGGGCCCGCCCCGTGTACAAGGGGAGCACCCCTCGTGAACAGCGTCAAGACCCTTCCCCCCCTCCCCACTGTGGACAAGGGGACCACGATCATCACACCTCCCCCCAGACTCCCCCCAGAGGCACCCTCCTCACTCCTATCTGTTGTTACGGGGTGCTTCATTTGTTCCCACATGCCTCAAAGTGGCCTCAGATCTGTTACGTGGCGGCTCCAAGTGGCCACGGAGCCTCCCAGAAGTGCCCCACGATGCCCCCCAACAAAACCCAATAAACTCCCAAGAAAGCCCCGAGAAGGGCTCCAGAGCGTAGGCCTTCCCAATACCTATACGACCACCCTTCGGGTTGTAAGGAGCTTGGAGTGGGAGGAAAGAACTGCTGGCAAATGCAATGGGTGTGATGATGACGATGCTGGTGACGCGCCATCGAATTAGCGACGACGCGTGATGACGATGTTGCGCTGCGATGTTTTGTCACTATCGTCCCCGCTTTCGATCTCGCTCGATCGATGCCACAATGGAACTCGCGGCCAGTCTTAGTACCAATGGATTCAGCGATCGATTATACGATCGATCCCACTAGCGATCTCACTATTGTTTCCTCTATCGATCTTAATATCGATCTCACAACCAGTATCACCATCAACCTCACTGTCGATCTCATTTTTGATCCCCTTCTAGCGATCTCATTATCGATGTCACGATCGATTTCACTATCGGCACCAACACCCCCAGCCACCGCCCGCCCACCGCCGACGGAATACCGACGGAACACACACGGGACACCAACGGGGCACCACAGGACACCACGGCGGGACACCCTGGGCCACCGCGCGCCCACAGGGGGCGCAGGGGCGGTCCACTGTAGCCGAATCGCCCTAGCGACGGCGGGGTCAGTCCTCTCGCGCGCCCAATTACCTTCGCCTCGCCCGAAAGCACGACACAAACACGAAATCGAAACCGATGTCCTGGTGGGGGGGCTCTCCGTTCCACTGCGATCTCACCCCCAAACCTCCGATATGGGCCGTCGCGATTCAGGGCAATTTGATGCGCACCCCCTGGCTTCTGCTCGAACCAACGGTCTGCTGCAAAAATATCAGCACATCTACATGGCGACGCTCTCGAACGATCAAACGGTGTTGCACCGACCTACCTGCGCGACCGAAACGAAAGGAAGATCGAGGAGCAGAAGCGCCAGTACGAGGATGAGGATGCGTGGAGCGGGAGATGATAAAATGATCGGGTATGCGGTTATGGCGGGAAGAAGGTATGACGGGAAACAAACGCATGCGAGTTGCATTCCAACCCCTCTCCACAATGTCTACCTTTCCTCCCACTGGTCCGTGGGAGTCTCCCCTCCCCTCTCCTCTGCAGTCCTTCTCCTCTCCTCCTCTCTCCCCTCCTGTCTCCCCGTCCTCCCCCTTCTCCTCGCACTTTCTTTACGTTTTTCCACTCCCGCCCTCCACCCCCTTTCCAACCTAGCTCAGTATGGAGCGTCAAGAGGCGGGACCAGCTTGCTACGATGCTTCACTACACTGCGGTGCTGCAATCGGCGGCCTCGTCAAATTTCTTCTCCTGGAGAGCATCAGAGCGGAGCAGGAGTAGCTGTAAGAATTGGCTGGATAATTAGGCGCTTGGGAGGAGCAGAGCCTCAGCAGAGGCCTCAGATACCAGAGAGCTCCTGCGAGAAGGCATGGAAGGGCGGGCCAGACATCTTTACGTGCGTTGGCCTGCCGTGTCGCCTTGCAGGACTGCGCCCTGCAGGGGCCACGTCAGCAGGTGCATCGTTTCTGTAGCAGGGACCGCGGTGGCGTACATCTTGAGTTCTGCTCGCGACGGAATTCCTCATTTCACCACACGTCGTTACCCATACCATCGGCTGCAACGATCTGCGTATGCAGTCTGTGTGGCTGATGTCAGCCGGGAATGGGCATGATAACTGCGAACATTCAAGGGTCCCTGACCCCCGATCTCCAGGATTCCTGGATGTTGTTGGGCGTCCTGGCGCGCTCCCAAGCTTTTTCTTGCGGCATTTCCAAAAACGGACCTAGGGGCGCGCCTTGGTGCCCTACTGGGCACTTGGACTGCCGAAACAATTCAAAGCCGCACCTGTCCGCATGAGCTTGGAATTACTGCCTGTTGGGTCACGACAGCGTCCACGACGGCCCGAGAGGCGCCCAGCATCGCCCCAGGACTGCCCCCCCAGCCAACAGGAGGCCAAGACGGCTCCAGGCGCCCGAAGTGGAGAATTTGCAAGGGCCCCAGGATCGCTCGCCCCCGGGACGGCTCCGAGACTGCCAGCGTGCCCCCGAGAGGCCCCCCAAAGGAACGCAGGAGGCACCCTAAGGCTCCCAACTGCCCCCTCAGAGAAGCCCCCAAGCGGCCCCGCAGGAAGCACCCGCAGGAGGCACCCGCACGCTTCCATGAGGCCCCCAAGCAGCCCCGCAGGAGATCCCAAGAGGCCCCTGCCACTGGTGCGCGACCAAGGCACGGTGGCGCAACGCGCCGAAGGCAACTAGATCCGCCGCCCCCTGCTTGCAGGGGTGCACGGCGTGCTGGATGAGCTGTTTGGTTTTGGTTTTGGTTCTTTTTCCAAAAGAACTCCCCAGTGGGCTCCGGCAGAACCCGCCACCGTGCGCAAAAACGGCCGTTTCGCTCGGGACATCCTCAAAAAATCGCGAAGATGGCCCAAGATGGCCTCCAAGTCCGCCCGAGATGGTCCAAGACGGCCTCCAAAACGGCCCAAGAGAGTCCAAGACGGCCCAAGACGGCCCAAGAGGCCCCCCAGAGGCCTCCCAGACGGCCCAAGAGGCCTCCAAGAGGTCCTCCAGGAGAGTCCGAAGAGGCCAAAATCATTGATTTTCCCTTGGTTTTTGAAGGATTTTGGCATTTGCGCCTTTTCGGCTCTCCGACGGCTCAAGACGGCCCAAGAAGCCCCCAAGATCGCCCAAGAGGCCCCCAAGAGAGCCCCCTGATGGCCCAAGTGGCCTCCAAGATGGCCCCTAGAGGGCCCCAAGACGGCCCAAGAGGCCTCCAACACGCCCAAGATGGCCTCCAAGACGCCCAAGATGGCCTCCAAGACGGCCCTGGAGCGCCCCAAGAGGGTCCCCCGTTGGCCCAGACAGGCCCCCAAAACGGCTCCCGACGGCGTCAGACGTGCCAGGAACCCACCAAGATGGCCGAAGTTGGCTCGAAGCTGGCCCAAAAGGGCCCAAGAGGCCCCCAAGAGGGCCTCCAGGAAGGCCAAAAGATGCCAAAATCACTGATTTTCCCAAGGTTTTTGATGGATTTGGGCATTTCCCTTCTTTCGGCCTTCCGACGGCCCGAGACGGCCCAAGAGCCCCCAAAGATCGCCGAAAGATCGCCCAAGAGGCCTCCAAGACGACGACGATGACCATCAAGACGCCCACGTGTTCCCCGAAGGCTTTCCAAACCGATTCGGGGAACACATGGTCCGATGGCTTGGCAGGTCTGGCCTCAACGTTCGGCCACATAGGCGCTTCCACAAAGGCAGGGGGCGGCGGTGATTCGCCGTAGGCGTCTTCGATATCCGCCGCCCCCTGTCGCTTCAGCAAAGGGGTGCCCGGCGTGCCAAACCCTATCGGTTTTGGTTTTGGTTCTTTTTCCAAAAGAACTCTCCCAGTGGGCTCCGGCGCGTCCCGCTGGGGCCGTGAAGGCCCGGAAACGAGCTCAACGACCGCAAAAAATCCTCCAAGATGTTTCGAGATGGCCTCCCAGACGGCCAAGATGGCCTCCGAGACGACTCAGATGCCCCCAAGATGCCGCCAAGACGGCCCAAGATGCACCCAAGACGGCCTAAGATGGCCGCAAGATGGCCCCATAAAGGCCCAAAGGCGCTCAAGAGGCCTCCAAGACGGCCCAAGAGGCCTCCAAGAGGTCCTCCAGGAGGGCCCGAAGAGGCCAAAATTATTGAGTTTCCGTAGGTTTTTGAAACGGCAGTAGATGGCAGTAGACGGTGTCAAAATGGCCCACGGCTGCCCAAGAGTCCCCCCAGAGGCCCCGAAGACGGCCCAAGAGCCTTCCAAGAGCTCCTCCAGGAGGGCCCGAAGAGGCCAAATTCATTGATTGTCCGATTTGGGAATTCGCTTCTTCTCGGCTTTCCGACGGGTCAAGACGGCCCAAGAGGCCCCCAAGATCGCCCAAGAGGCCCCCAAGATGGCCCCAAGACGGCCCAAGTGGCCTCCAACACGCCCACGATGGCCTCCAAGACGCCCAAGATGGCCTCCAAGACGGCCCCGAAGCGCCCCAAGACGGTCCCCCGTCGGCCCAGAAAGGCCCCCTAAGACGGGTCCCGACGGCATCAGACGTGCCAGGAAGCCACCAAGATGGCCGAAGTTGGCTCGAAGCTGGCCCAAGACGGCCCAAGGGGCCCCCAAGAAGGCCTCCAGGGAGGCCAGAAGAGGCCAAAAACATAAATGTCCTGAGGTTTTTTGACGGATTTTGACATTTCCTTCTTTTCGGCCTTCCGACGGCCCGAGACGGCCCAAGAGCCCCCAAAGATCGCCGAAAGATCGCCCAAGAGGCCTCCAAGACGGCCAAGATGACCTTCAAGGTGCCCACGTGTTCCCCGAAGGCTTTTCAAACCGACTCAGGGAACACGTGGCCCGATGGCTTGGCAGGTCTGGCCTCAACGTTCGGCCACATAGGCGCTTCCAAAAAGGCAGGGAGCGGCGGCGATTCGCCGTGGGCGTCTTAGATCCGCCGCGCCCTGTGTTTTCACAGGGGTGCGTGGCGGGCTTACTTGTCGAAGTGTACTGAATCATAAGAACATGCGTTGAACGGCTAATGTTTTGCAAGCTCTCCGTCAGGAGGGGAGCTTTCGCGAACCGAATAACGGCAAAAAACGCATTCGCGCTATTATTGGTGACCTTGTTCCTGTAGTGGTTTCGTGCTCAGGTTCACACGACAAATTGGCGATGTACTTCTTCGCACCATTGCTTAAGTAAGTGCGCCGTTAAACTGAGAGAAGGCCACGGTAGACGGACGAGACCCGGCCGGCCGAGGAGCGCGCCCGGAGGGCGCGCGCGCGCGCCGCGGGGCGGGGCACCCTTTTGCCATTGCAGCCGAAGCCGGCACAACTTCGGCGGGCATCGACGTCGCGCAGCGTCGCGACGGCGATGCGGCGGCAACGCAGGGGCGCTGACTTCATCAACTCCCCCCGCGGCCTCCCTGGCGAGCCCCACTCACGGTGGACGTCAACGACTTGTCAGCGCCCCGAATTATTTTAATTCAGCGGCCCGTCGCGCCAAGCCCGGCAGGCAGCCCACCCTCCGCCTGGCTCGCAGCGCTCCGAGACGCTCGGCGCATGGCTCGGAGGCGTCGGAGGGGCACTCGCAGCATAGCTGCAAGCATCCCTCCTTCTTTTCCACTCAGCCAGAACTCTGGTCGCCGCGGCCCCAACTGCTGTAGCCTCGCCAGTTGCCTGAGCCCCAGCTCCCAGACGACCGCCAGTTGTCGGTGTTCTCGCGCCATGGTAAAATGGAATCCGTGTTCGGCCGTGAATTGCGGGCGCCCTCGCGCCATGGCGGAGCGGGGTCCGTGCGCTGCCGTGAAATGTCTGCATGTTCGCGCCGTGCCGGAATGAAATCCACGTTCTGCCGCGCATCTCTCGGCCAGTGGCCCCGGGGCCACGGAAGGGCTCATGGCGGGGCTTGACGAGGCAGCGCCCGATCCTGGATGCAGATCCCGCTGCGCTGGGTGCGCTGCTCGGCGACGCCAAGGTTCCTGTTCGTCGTCTGGAGCACCAATGAGTCAGAGTCACCACTTAGCTCCTTCGCCGTCCTCCCGGCCACCTTGCCCACGCCGTGGAGGTTGTCGATCGTTCTTGTTGTCGCGGGGCGGCCCTCGGGCCGCGCGGAGCTGGGCCTCTCTTCACCTTCGACTCGCCGCGCGCCAGGGCAGGCATCCTCACTGACATAATCAGAGGGAGACGGAGTCCCAGGTTCCCGCGCGGCCGGCACTGGAGGTGCTAGGAATTCCATTGAGGGCCAGTGCTCCGCCAGCCCCCGCTCCATTCGTCTTTCAAGGCAGTAAGCGGCTGGACCTCGGCGCTCCGCCCGGACTCGGCGCACCACTCAGACCAAGCAATGCTCGGCTCGTCGAGGTCGCGGTCCATTGGGAAAGCGCAGCCCCAGTCAAACGGTTCGAGGAGGTCATGGACCTCCCCGTCCATGACCCCCCTGCTGATGCAGGGCAACCATGTCATTGGAAGAACAACAGGGTTACTGCCAGTAGCGGGCGTCTTGAGATGAACGCTTTGGAATGCGATCCACCTTTGCCCCGGCCTCTTGGCCCTCCCAGTCTGCAAGGGTTTTGAGCTCCAGCAGCTCGTCGTCTGCAGACTTTGGCGGCCAGGCGAAGACCGTCATGATGTCGCTGCGGAACGCGGTCTTGCCCTGCAGGCCTTCCTCTCGACGGCCGACGATGCCTTCTGCACCTGCGTTTTTCCTTTCGCTCTGGGAACGGACTTGCCCACTGTCAGCATCGCGACCCTTCGTTCCCCCCCCCAGTGCTCGGCGCCTCGGGGCCGGGGGCGCGGCCCCCGCAACCTTCCC